TCCAGACTGATCTGCGAGTGAAACCTTGAAAGCTCGCGAGATCAGGATGGTCTCACGAGGCTAGATTAAAATGGCCAAAGAACCAAAAAGGTACCTGTGGCTCTGCAATGAATAAAGTGAAATTTCCACATCATTTAGTTTAACCATCACTGTTCCCAACAACCTCAGTAAGTTGTTACATTCATGCATATTTTTACAGCTTAGTCAGTTAAATAAGATACGCTGTAATTTTGCACATCTCTATTTTCTTCTAATTTCTTCTACTGTAATAATGTCCACAGCTGTATATTGAATATTTTTTCTCCAGGTGCACATTATTTATATTGTTAAAAGACTCTACAGTAAACTATTTTATTTGGTTTATTTTTGTTTAACTCTTTTTTATTATATAATTTTCATGCCCTGTTCTGAGGTCCACATTTGTGTGACCATTTTTCTATAATTTTTTTGCAGCTGTAATACCAGAATTTCCCCATTATGGGACAATTAAGGGATTTTCTATTCTATTCTATTTAATACAAATTTTGTGTTGTTCCTAAAAAAAATAAAAATAAATTTTTGGCTTGAAAATGTCAATTTTACTTTAAATCCCTTGCAATAGAAAAAAGTTATTGAAATCATTTGTTGTTAAATAAATCTACCAAAAGATTAAATAAAACTATTATTTGTAATATTAGGTCATGAACATTAATAATTCAGAAAAAGTGATTGTCAGGTTTATGATTATAAAATTAATGTGTGCTTTAGAATCGTTTGTGCTGAGAGATGCTGCACTGTGCCTTGTGATGCAGTCAGGAGACCATCCTTCCTCGTGATTCTGGTGGAGCATCCTGTCTGTATGAACTGATCAATTGTTATGTATGAACAAATACTGTTTTGTAATCATGTGCTATGTTCTGTCAATAAAAGACGGCTGCAGGAGGGGATTCGGAGAAGAAAAGCTTGATGTTGGGTGCATAGGCGGATCTACTGGGGTGGCATAGGGTGGCAAATGCCACCCTAAATGACAGCCTTGACACCCCTGCTGCCACCCCAGTTGGTGTTAGGGGTGGCGAGGCTTATAAATTATGGATAATTTGAGAATTACGACGGCTAATTTCCAATGTCGGACTGCAGTGAATGCAGCACGAAATGACGTGAGAGCGACTGAGACTGATTAGTTTTGAAAACCTATTGAGTCAAAGCGAGGGAGCAGGGGTCATGGGGAGAGGAGACACGGGACTAAACAGGTTGAAACTGATTAACTATCAGAGAAATTAAATCATAATGAAAGCACAATGTTGCTAACATAGCTGCAATGCTGATTTTGAGATGATAAAAATCAGAACGTTATTTCTCTAACTATGATGTTAGTTAGGCCTGACGTTTCAGCCTCATAAAGACATATTTGCGGTCAACTTTGACAGAAAAGAGACGATCAAGTTTGGTTATACTCAAATCAAAAGGCGCAAAGGCATTGGATCTAAATACATTAGTGAAGCATTTTGCTGAGCAGCATGGAAATCGCCGCATTCAGCTGTTATAGTCATGTCAACTTTATGTTATGCTCTCTGGTGAGCCTTTAAGGAGCTGTTACATTTTGTTTTGGCACCTGAGAAAATCTGATATTTCCTTTAATAAAACCAAAAGAGTTAAAAGTAAAAAATGTGATACTGGTGTGAATCCTGCTTAAAATGAAGCAGTGTTGTTGTTTCTTTTTTTGTATATATAATATGAAACTATCCAGAAACCTGTATGAACCTTCTCACAAAATGTTTTATACTTTTCAGACTGGAAGCAAAATGTATTTTTATATTGCTTCTTTTTAGATTTGTGGAGATTTTAATGTAACATACAGTACCTGCCTTTTTGTTGATTTGTTGATACAGCAGCTCTATCTACAGCATATTTACATGCATGAAATGTTCCTTTCATGTTGCCTTAACTGCTGTATGTCAAGTTACTGAGGAACAAATGTGGTTAATGTGTGTTCAGAGTAAACAATAAAATGGATGTCCGGTACCTTGTTCGGGTGCCTTGACCCATTTATCTCTACTGTGTAGTAATTCTCACTTTAGTACAGCTCAGTCCATAGATCTCTGATGGGTAACTTTTTCTTTCTATAGTTTCTTCTTGTGCAAACACTGCAAAGCTGCCTCTCTGACAGTCAATCTCACACATCTGTGACTCAGCACCTGTGTCTTACCTTAATACCTTTCCTGTGATAATGCCCCTCTAGAAGTAGTGTTATCATTCTTCTGTCTCCTATTAAGTGAGATCTCATTGTACGATGTATTTCTAATAAGAACTGTTTCACATGAAACAATTACTGTACATACTATTCTCACCAAACTGTGATAACTGTGATTAAATTCAGTGTAAACAAATGCCATATGTTGCCACCCCTCAAAAATTCCTGCCCCTCTCTCGCCACCACATAAATATTTTTCTAGATCCGCCCCTGGTTGGGTGGGCTTTTCCTTCCGCTTCTGCAGTCGCTGCTTGATCCTCTTTCGGTGTGCAGAGTCAATTTCTATTTATTTGCAAAGTTATTTTTTCCTGAATCCAACAGTGATGTCAAATAACTTACACACGTATGTTTTATTTTAAATAAAAATGACCAGTTTTAATCAAATCATAGGTAGAATTCAAGTAAAACTGAAAAAGTTTGCTATAACAAATAGGAGTATTATTTCAGTTTCGATAGGAATAACATAAACTGTGATCCTATTTCCATATGACTGAAGCTGCCACCTTCATTTTTTAAAATCAAAACCAAAACAGAATTGTAAAGAAAAAAAAATTAAATGGGTCCAAATAACTGTCGGTTCCAGCACATCTCTTTAGAAATGTATTTATTATCATGTCTTCAGCACAGGGGCCATGGGTGAGAACATGAAAAAAAATAGACAGGATAATACAGACATGTATTCACAACCAGTAATTACATGCCTATTATCCTGTCTGTGTTTTTCTATCAAGAAGCTGGGCTCCAACATACAGATTCACTTTGCACCTGTGGATTTCCCTATTTAGTTGCAGCTGTTCTGTTACGTTGTTATCAATATGTAGTAAATAATAAAGTTAGGAGAAGGTAAAAGTAGAAAGGATATCAGTTTACAGAATCAGAATACTTGTGTAAAGTGCAGATAAAAAAACAAGCTACTTAGGTGCAGTAACAAAGTATTTATACACAGTTAGGGGACTTGATTACTCTGCAGTTTATCTGCTGTCGTTAGATCCCTCTACTCCACCCACTCAGAGGTTCTCTCGATGTTTAAAGGGTGCAGCCCCCTTTGACTTTCTGATCTCAAAAGCCGCTGAACGTTAGGCTCTTTTATTGACTCTTAAACCGTGATGCCTCTAAATCTCTTATCTGTCACCAGTTGCCTTTTAAAATGTATGAAATCTTTCCATTACAACCGACGTAGGGGATTTAGGTAAGGAATTCCACTTTATTTAAAGGTGATTGCACAAAAATTTCCGTCAACATTGCATGGTAATGTAAATCATAGAAATATTGTTGCCTTTTTTCAGCAGTGCTGCAGCTTCTTTAAGTTCAGTCAGTTTAAAAGGTCGCAGCTGTCTCACACTTAAAGATTTCAGCTCTGATGAAATCAAACGGCTTTTGTGGGTATCAGGGGACCTCAAGCATCAGATAAAGCATGAAAAGCAGGTATTAAACTACTGTAAAGAGAACAAATGCATAAATCAGTGTCCATGTATTTCACATGTCCAGTTTTACTTAAGTGTTTTAAAGGAGCCAAATGCTGTTTCTATTTCAGTATCTGCCTCTTCTGCAAGGAAAGGCGATTGCAATGATATTTGAGAAGAGGAGCACCAGAACAAGAATGTCCACAGAAACAGGTGTTCAGGTTTTCTACATGGAGCTTTAAATACAAACTGCTGTGTGGAAACTTAGTTTATAGTTTTTAGCATTGATCAGTTTAAATCAAATATATTCTGGTGGTATTTGGTGCAATGCTGTTTCCTGCCTGCCATTGTTAGGAGAAACAAAGGATCTGCTGAAAGCTAACTTTCAGGGTAAGCCTGTAGAAAAAGAAGAGAAACAAAACACAGTGCACACACGCCTCCCTTTTGTCCCATTAAACCTGCAAACTTAGAGTTAGCTTATTGGGATTTTTTGTCACTAGAACAACCCAAAGTAATACACAATTGTGAAGATAAGGGAAATGTGTTAATGTTTTTTTTTTTTTTAGGTAAAAATATGAAGCCTATTTATTCGCTTTTAATCTGATACAAATACAATCCAATGCAACCAATGACCTATAGAAGCTGCCTAATTGCCAGACCGAGCCTGTGGTTAATTTAATAAAAAACAGCTGTGGTTTTAAAGCCACAGAGGTTTATTTTAGAACATTAGTGAAATTAAAACTGAAGAATACAACAGACAGGTCAGACATAACAGTGTCACCTGTTTAAAACAGCATTTGGTTGGTTCTCATTGATGAGAAACTGAGATTGCACCTGTGTGCTATTCTGAATACCGTAAGTAATCTCTGCAGTGAAACAAGGTGTAGGCATCATCATGCTGTGGGAAGACTTCTCTCCAGCAGGGATAGAAATGCTGATCAGTGTTAAAGACAAGGTGCTATATGATCATGTGTAAGAATAGCCCAGGTGTATTCTAGAACTTAATGTATGGTGAAACAGTGGTGAAACATCAAATCTGATCGTGTCTGAGAAATGTGACTGTTGTGATGGTAAAAACTTTGAAGACTTGCAGCTGTTGAGGCAGCAAAAGTTGATTCATGAAGGAGAAAACATGCCCAGCCTTTCAGGGTTTTATTTTCAGACAGATGTTTAAAGGCATCTGTCATTTTTTCCAATTTACAATTGCTGATATGTGTTGGTATATAAGCTAAAATGACTGTAAAGGACTTTGACTTTTATGGCTGAATTATGGCAAAATATGAAAAAGAATGGGGGTTTCTTCTACAAGGAAGTATATCAGGCTATTGTACATGTATGTATTTTCAGAGTATGTGTTTGTTGTGATTTTCAAATGATTATCTCCAGTGTCTGGACTTTTATGAAAACGTATGTTGTTGTTTTTTTTTATATACTTCAGGTTTTGCATTGCTGGGTGGCCACCCCTGTTTTCTAACCTCACAGGACATCCACTTAGGAGTGAATGAAAGCAGCACTGACACAGCAAGGTGTGTTTTATTTTTTATTTTTTTTGCGAGGTTTTAAACGTAATCAAATTCTTTAGTTAAATAAAAGAACAGATACTGGTGCAAATACATTACTCTGGTAAAAGTAAAAGTACCAAATGAAATAACTGACTGAAGTAAAAGCATAAGTAATTTAAAGTTTTAGCATTAGTAAATACAACAACAAAAAAAAACTAAATTTATATTAAAAAGAAAAAACATTTCTATGGACAGAAAATAAGTTCATGTTCCTTTTTTTGCTGCTAACTTTGTTGACACAGAGAACATAAAACACTGATCTGGCCTAAATGTGTTCTTAATTTAAATTTCAGACAGGATAATACAGATTGAACTGAACCAAAGTCCTGCATAAGCAGCTGAACGCTTTTAAAGCTCTGTTTTTTACAGCTATAAAGTTGCAAAAAGTATTACATTGAAATAGAACTTAAAACATGTAAATGCAAAACCTATTAAAAGGGGAGACGGTGGGAAATATCTGATCCATCACCTGCAATGTTTGCCCCTCTTTAAAATACATGTCGCTCGGAATTATTCTATAAACATATAGTTAAGAAAGCTATGCAGTATTGCCTACGCCTTAAGTGAGTTACCTATAGCAGCAAAAAAAAGTTATAAAATCATGGAATCGATATTCAACAATATTGAATATTACCAGGCAGATTCTCTTCACACTCGGGTAAAGTACAGATATGACATCTCTGCCATTAGTTTTTGTTAATCGAAGAGAGAAGAAGCAACTGCCATTTGAACTAAATGTTTTATGTTAACTTGTAAAAAGGATGCATAAAACATGTTTTCAAAATATTTGCTTGTATTTGTTACTCTGTAATTGTGAATGAAGACTAGAACAGTCTCTTTGGCATTAAATGTTGACCTGCTTCCAACCTAAAAACACAAAATAGGGCTGTATTGAATATATTTTCAAATATGAAATATGACACGTCACTGCCCCAGATACATTAGGTTAGGTAGAGATGGTAAAATATAGAAGTCATCATAAGCTGCTTTTTTTTTTAACATAATCCCTATTGCAGTTGCTTAGGGGGGTCATTACATGATGGGGCAGACATGTCCAGATGAAAATATAATTTAGACCTGTCCAATGGTGTGCATCCCTATGATGAGCAGAAAGCTGGAATACTTTTTTACAGACACATTCTACCTTATATTTATAGTTGCCTGTGATTTGTTGGAAAGCAGTGGGTTTCCTGGATGTTTTGTGTAGCATATATTTTTGCACAGGGTTCTCTCAGGACTTTGCGATATCATCTTGGCACGAGTTTACAGCCATTCGACTCTGGAGGAGCTGGACCGGGAGGCATCTATCCCCATCATTAACGGACTCTCTGACCTATATCACCCCATCCAGATTCTGGCAGACTTCCTTACCTTGCAGGTAGCATTTTACCTCGGTATACCATTATTCATTTAATGAACCCGCTTAACCCTCACTGTTTTCTTCTAGGAGCATTATGGATCTCTTAGTGGACTTACAGTGAGCTGGATTGGAGATGGAAACAATGTCCTCCACTCTTTTATGATGACCGCTGCCAAACTAGGGGTTCATCTTAAAGTTGCCACACCAAAGGTTTGCGTCTTCTCAGACTATCATGTGTTTTAATGGGATCACCCTAAATTCATTGTTATCCACAGGGTTATGAACCAGACAAGAGCGTCACTGAGGAGGCACAGAGGCTGTCCATAGAAGTGAGGCTTTAGACTGATTAAAGTCATTCTTGGTTAACAACATTCACCCATTCTAACCATGGTTCTGTCTCAGCATGGGACCCAACTCATTCTGACCTCTGATCCAATGGAGGCTGCCCATGGCAGCAATGTGTTGGTCACTGACACTTGGGTCAGCATGGGTCAGGAAGAAGAGAAGAAAAGGAGGCTGAAAGACTTCCAAGGATACCAGATAACCATGCAGGCAAGGAAGAAGCTTGTTTAGTTGGCGTTTAAAGATCAGTTATGATACTCCACGGAGCCATTTAGCCATATCATTTGAGCAGTTTCACATTTTCAGTTTAATTTGCAGGCCAACAAGGACCTCAATGACTCCCCATTACTAAGGGGCGGACATGTTTTTGTTTCAATATACATGTTTTCCAAGCCGTAACAAGGATTTTGTTGGGCTACTCTAAAAAGTCTGGAACTCAATGCAAATCCAAATATTTTGTATTGAGAAACCTTCCTGGATGGGAAGCAAAAAGTCTTCAGAGTTGGAAAACAAAGTCCAGTGGATTGTATTTCAACTTTTTTTTTTTTGGAATCACTAAATGTCAACATGTTTTATTGGGATTTTTCCATAATACTCAATTTTTCATTAGAAAATAACTAAAGCTTAGTCAAAATAAAGCTGCAGTAGGGTGATTTAAGAAACCATGAACTTAGCCTAAAATGTTGAACAAGCAGGTCCATACACCTTACTCTGTGCTGCACTACTCCCTTACTCCCCTACAGTGTAGCCTGCCATGAAGGTACAGGCTAATAAGCAAGCTCCTGATGATCAATACAGTATGCTTACAGTTACATGCAGCTACAGTACATAAACATCTATGAGCTTGTACGCGCTGTGCAGGGAAGGGGTTTAAACTGCGTATACACAAGTAGAATTGATACTGATAAGACATCCCTACTGATAGGTTGTTTCGGATTAAGATGTTTTTCTTCTGCAAATGGCAGTATGCTCACTGGAAGACACCAGTGCTGTTTGATTTTTCTTTTTTTTTAATCACAGATAAGATGCCTCATATTGCACTTTCATGATAGAGTCAACAGTTTTAACAATTATGTAAGGAAATACATTTTTATAAAAATTACCTACTGCACTTTTAATAGAGCCAGTAATAGAATCAAAACTATTTCTGCATTGTAAGTGTGAATTTGAATTTGTGGAGAGAGTTACATTATAAGTTCTGTAATTGTAGAATAAAAAATATCACAAGTAAATTTCTTTTTACACCTGTTCAAATTTTAAGTTCAAGTACACACATTGTGTTTTACCAGTTGCACATTAAAAACCTCTTACAGTCTCAGTTTTGCTTTAAATGGTCCAGAACCTATTTTGCAAAAAATATTTGTGCATTGTAAGTTGGAGCTTTTTAATTTAATGTTTTTTTCATCTTTCACTATACAAAAAATACACAGTACACAAATTGTGTTCTGTGAGTTGCACATCAAAAATGTCTTCCATTCAGTTCGCCCCAGCTGATTCAAAACAAAAGGTGCAAAACAAATCTTTATTAAAATCTTCATTTTTTTTTTCTTAACACAAATACAAACCAATGATTACAAGTGCACGAATCTGCGGCTGTGATTCCCAAATTCAACTTCAAAAGTTACACCCTCATTTTTACTTTTGCTCCAAATTGATTCGTGACTTGTGGGTAGTACCCTTGATCGTGCAGCAGAGGGCGCTGCCTGCTCGGTGACTCCGTACCACAGCTATAGATGCTCTTCCCAATTATGTCAGTGTTTAAGTTTGCCTATCAAATGAAATCCCAGTGTAGTGACTTAAAGTTTTGGGGAGTAATGAGAGAAAATGTAAAATGCAAACTGGTATGACCATGTCTGCAATGCTCTGTGATTCCGTTCCCCATACTAGATGTCTTTCATCTGTCTATATATTGAGGAAGTAGGTAGTTCAGGACACATAACAGATTTTAAACAAAGTTTTATTAATTTATCTTTAGTTTGTAGTTTTATATCACAGTAGTTCAACAAGTCTGAAACAATCTGTTACTAAAAAAGAACTCTGATTTAAAAAAAACAAAAAAAAAACGCTTCATTAAATGTACCATTTTAGTGACTTAGAAAATATTAATTCTATTTTTTGGGGGGGTATGGATGAAAATAGACTGGAAGTGTGGCCAAACCAGACTGGACCTTCCTTCACTGCCTCCCCAGGAAGTTGGAGGAGGTGGATGACCAGGTGTTTTACTCGTCCCGCTCCCTTGTTTTTCCTGAAGCTGAGAATAGGAAATGGACCATCATGGTAAGATGATGGGGAAATTCTTTACATTTGTTATTTCTTCTTTTTTCTGTTTAATAATTTCACCTATTTTCCTTTTTTAGGGTTTGATGGTCTCTCTTTTGACTGATTATACTCCGCAGACCTCTATTCCTAAATTTTGACCTTTAAGGTAGAATTTACCTTGGACCCTCTGAAAATGTTACATGTTTTTTTTTCCAAATGATGGGTTTACTTTTTTTTATTCATGTTGTTTTTATAAATTATATGGAGAATCGTTTCATAAAAAATAAAATAAATAAATACCTCTATTGATAAATTATTAATAAATATTCCACAAAATCTATAATATATAATATACCCATGAAAAAATACATATTTTAACAGAACATTTTACCAAATTTTTATTTATTTCTAGATTTATTTATTTATTTAAAGATTGTTTAGATATTTATTTAGTTTTACCTTAAATGGATATTCATTTATGTTTTTTTATTTATTTATGTAATTTTGAATTAAATTGTTCTCCGTAGAAAAAAACATTACCTCTCGTATTTAATGCTTTTACAGTTATCTGAACTTGATGGAGAGTGCCTGAAATAAAGAAATATATGAATATGTATGTATATTATTTTTTTCCCTTATTTTGTGTTAAAGTCGCAGCTTTATCTAAAATCAGGGTTTACTTTAACATGTAATTCTGTTTGTTAGAAAAATCCAACAAAGTTTGAACCATGAACTGTAAAACTAAAAAAGTGATTTAAAAGGTTTAAATTCTGGTATTTATTTTTTGGGAAAGTGCGACACCTCGTGGTTAAAAGCATTAATGCGTCACAGTCCCTGATTGGAGGACTGTAGGTGACGTGTGGTTATTTAGGGTGGGAATTAGAGCTCTTTTCGTGGATCCGTATCATGTAGCTTAGCTCAAGCAAAAAGAGGGATAATTCTTTCAACTTCAATCCAACTTCTACATGGCTGAAGGCCTAACATAATACTTTGATTTAATAAAAATAAAAAGAAAATTTTGGATATATGCATGGGGATGCATACATTTCCAGAACACATGTCGCCTAAAGCTGGTATACAGTCATTGTAGGAGTATACAGTCATTAATTTATACAAGAAGTCTAAAAGAAGCACAAGAAGTACAGATGTGAACTCATAAAACAATTATTCTCATAAAGAATATATATTTTGGCCTGCTGCCCAAGATCCAAATATTTTCTATTACCACATGGTTATTTTCTTTCTACTCTATTATTTAACTCCTATAATTACATTCTATCAATAAACTCTTTAACTCGTGGCTATTATATTATTCTCATAATTTTTTTCTAAGGTCCATATTTGTGTGACCTTTTTTTTCCATAATATTTTTGCTGCTGTAAACGCCGGAATTTTCCCTATAGTGGGACAATAAATTGATTTTCTATTCTATTCTATTCTATTCTATTCTATTCTATTCTATTCTATTCTATTCTATTCCTCATTATCTAGAATACAGAATGCAGCCACTTGAAAAATGATACTGAAAGCACAACTCTAAATAGGGACCACAGCAATTTTAGCCAAAATTAGTGAGGGGAAAATTCACTGCTCCAGGCAGAGTGTTTTCAGGCATAACAAACATGAACTTTAGCTCTACCTGTGTGCGTCACAAAACCGCCTGTCCGAATAGTGACCTGGTATCAAAAGAGTCATTAAAGGCATTCATTCTCTGCTGCCAAATACACACGAAAACATATTGATTAATAAACCGTTCACTGAATGAGCTGGCAGATAGAGTGGGCTCGTTTGCGGGTGTCACATTTGTAGCGGGAAGCTATGATCTCTGTGTGTGGTCCAGTCCGAACAAATCAGGTAACTTCATTCAGAAACAGAAAACTCTCTCAGCGAGTATTGATCCGTTGGTTTAATAAAAAAAAAATACAGCAACAAGCGAACACAAAATTTGTGCTTCTCCCCAAAAACAATGTACAATTTATGTATCTGTATGCACAAAGTATAACAAATCCAATAAATTATTTATTTAATGAAAGAAATTAACCACTGGGATATAACGGCCTTTTTTTTTTCGACGACCACCCACGTAGAGAGCGGCAGCTCGGAGAGGGAGCTGGAGCTTTGGGTGGGAGGAAGAGGAGGTGGAGGAGGAGGACGCCATTGCAACCACAGCTGGCCGTCCGAGATAAATCTGAGGAAGAACAAAACCATACCAAAGTTTCCCCACAATCACCGGCTTTGACCCATTTCTCTCCATTTCCTCCCGTCTTTCTTCGGGTTGTGAGGAAATACAAAACCAAGATGGATGTTTCGTCTTTGCGTAGAAGAATGTGGAGCCCCAGCGCCGAACAAAAGCAGGTAAAAAAAAAAAGGCCGAGTTCAGGGAGGGGGGGAATGGGGGAAAGTTAGAGCTAACTTAGCTAACTAACGGTAGCTGAATATGACCGTTACACGCCCCTGTTCTCCGTTTAATTCAATCCCTCTGTTCAGAAAAACCACTAAATGCCACAGCTTTAATCACTATTGTCACCAACAACAGAAATATGCTAACAGACGAAGCTATAAAGGCTTAACTTTCAGCAGAGTTCAATGTTTGGTGGGAGTTTAAGCTTTAGCTGAAGCTATCCCGTACGTTTAAATCTTTCTTTGTTATAACTTTATTATATGTGTTATTATCAGGCCAATGGCTCCAAAAAAACACGCTCAGGGGGTTTTATACAAAGATTTGCGAGTAGCATTAACGTTGGTTTTATCCACAAAGAAAGAACATTAATCCTCCTTCTATTTGGGGAATTTTATAATTTGATAGGTTCAGACTTTTTGTTGGAAAATTAATCAAGATTTATGTGATCATAGCTGTTTGTTGTAGGTTTCTTCTTTGAGTTATCTGTTTTATTTATTTATTTAAGGATTTTTTATTTTTAAGGAAACTGGCAGAAGGCAAAATTTTCAATAAAGTGTTTTTTTCAAGTCTGGAAATAGCTAATGGAAACATATTTAGATAGCTGGTTTTTATTCAGTGGAGCAGTGGGTAGTACTGCTGCCTTGCAGCAAAAGGTTTCAGGTTAGATTCCTGGCATGGAGTTTGCATGTTCTCCCTGAGCATGAGTGGGTTCTCTCCGGGTACTCCGGCTTCCTCCCACAGTCCAAAAACATGACTGTTAGGTTAATTGGCTTCTCTAAATTTTCCTTAGGTGTGCATGAGTGGTTGTTTGTCCTGTTTTTCTCTCTGTTGCCCTGCGATGGACTGCCAACCTGTCCAGGGTGTACCCCGTCCCTCGCCCTTAGACAGCTGTAGATAGGCACCAGCACCTCTCGTGACCCCACTTGGGATTAAGAGTGCCAGAAAATGGATGGATGGTTTTTATTAATTATTCCCTTGTCTAAGGAAAGCATCATCTATCTTGCTATTTATATTGATTTCATATTATTCATTCGTTTGTATTTATTTATTTATCCATGGATCAGTTCATCCATCTGTGTTACTGAAAGTCTGGCCGCTCCAATAAAACTTACTTAGAATTTTCTAAAATATGTTTAGTCGAAAGAGCTTTGTCTGCAACCATAAATAAAATAATCAAACTAATCAAAAATCTTCCGATTACTGTGGCTGCCTTCCTGTCAACATATCAGGTGATTTACCGGTGTTAAATAGGGAAGTTAGGTCCCCCCTGAAGGCGGTTACGCCTCAGAACTTCCCTTCCGGTTCTTTTCCTGCGAGCAAGTTACCTAGTATAATTATTCTTAACTCAAATTTGGTAAAAAAAACATATAAAAAGGACTATAAAAAAAGGAGTAAAAAAGTAACAGAGTTTATTAGATAGGGAAATAGCTTGCCGTCGGCACAGTGGTGGGCTCAAAACGTCAGCAAGTGTTGGCATCCGGCAAAAATGAGCCCCGAACATCTCCTGCTTCCTATACCTCATGAGTCTGTGTCGCATCAGGTGGATGCTTAGCTGTTCATGTCAGAAACAGACACGCCATCCATGCCCTGACCTTCTTGCCTCTATGCCTCAGGATTACAGATACAGTAGCTCTCCTCTATCAGTCCGGCTCCAGGATGTGTCCTTATCCTGCGTATCTTCTACAGACAAGAAGACTGTCCTCATTAGATGGCCTCTGTTCACACAATGTAATCCACCATGTGAAGGAAGGCCTTCTACTCAATCTAATCTGGCTAACAGATTAACAATACACATGATTAATAAAGAATAAAACTAACACTGGTCTGTTTCATGTTCAATATATGCATAACAGCCTTTTTTCTCCCCCCCAATCTTTCAACGCAGACTTCCACAGTAGCCTTTCCCGTCCGGTGGTCCCGTCTCTCACCATGAACTCCAGTAGGAACTGCACCTCAGCGGGGAATGGCAACGGTCTGGCAGCGCTGGAGTCGGTGTCCATAGTGACCATCACGCTCCTGGCCTGTCTGGGGAACCTGCTGATCGTGGCCACCCTCTATCGCAGGCCCTACCTTCTCACGCCCAGCAACAAGTTTGTGTTCAGCCTGACCCTGTCCAACCTGCTGCTGTCCGTGCTGGTGCTGCCGTTTGTGGCTGTGAGCTCGGCCAAAAGGGAATGGGTTTTCGGGGTGGTGTGGTGCAACTTCACTGCGCTGCTCTACCTGCTCATCAGCTCAGCCAGCATGATGACCCTCGGGGCTATCGCTATTGACAGGTCAGACCCCAATCAATGTATACTTGTATTTAAATAATATTTACATGCATCAGTTTCTAGATGAGATTAATTACGGACCAAGCTTCGATTGGTTTTATTCTTTTTATTTTGCCTATTTTTCTTACATATTTTATTACTTTGGTACATTCAGAAGCCTTACAACTGAAAAAGGTTTATTACTTATACCTTTTACATGGTTCAACATTTTCTTAACAAATTTCAGTGGATTTTAATGCGATTTTATGAGGTTGTGCAGGAATGTAGCAGACAGGTCAGAAAGGATGTTGTGAAGAACTTTAGCAAAGTTTCTGTAAAACTATATTCCAANTTTATTTATTTATTTAAAGATTGTTTAGATATTTATTTAGTTTTACCTTAAATGGATATTCATTTATGTTTTTTTATTTATTTATGTAATTTTGAATTAAATTGTTCTCCGTAGAAAAAAACATTACCTCTCGTATTTAATGCTTTTACAGTTATCTGAACTTGATGGAGAGTGCCTGAAATAAAGAAATATATGAATATGTATGTATATTATTTTTTTCCCTTATTTTGTGTTAAAGTCGCAGCTTTATCTAAAATCAGGGTTTACTTTAACATGTAATTCTGTTTGTTAGAAAAATCCAACAAAGTTTGAACCATGAACTGTAAAACTAAAAAAGTGATTTTAAAGGTTTAAATTCTGGTATTTATTTTTTGGGAAAGTGCGACACCTCGTGGTTAAAAGCATTAATGCGTCACAGTCCCTGATTGGAGGACTGTAGGTGACGTGTGGTTATTTAGGGTGGGAATTAGAGCTCTTTTCGTGGATCCGTATCATGTAGCTTAGCTCAAGCAAAAAGAGGGATAATTCTTTCAACTTCAATCCAACTTCTACATGGCTGAAGGCCTAACATAATACTTTGATTTAATAAAAATAAAAAGAAAATTTTGGATATATGCATGGGGATGCATACATTTCCAGAACACATGTCGCCTAAAGCTGGTATACAGTCATTGTAGGAGTATACAGTCATTAATTTATACAAGAAGTCTAAAAGAAGCACAAGAAGTACAGATGTGAACTCATAAAACAATTATTCTCATAAAGAATATATATTTTGGCCTGCTGCCCAAGATCCAAATATTTTCTATTACCACATGGTTATTTTCTTTCTACTCTATTATTTAACTCCTATAATTACATTCTATCAATAAACTCTTTAACTCGTGGCTATTATATTATTCTCATAATTTTTTTCTAAGGTCCATATTTGTGTGACCTTTTTTTTCCATAATATTTTTGCTGCTGTAAACGCCGGAATTTTCCCTATAGTGGGACAATAAATTGATTTTCTATTCTATTCTATTCTATTCTATTCTATTCTATTCTATTCTATTCTATTCTATTCCTCATTATCTAGAATACAGAATGCAGCCACTTGAAAAATGATACTGAAAGCACAACTCTAAATAGGGACCACAGCAATTTTAGCCAAAATTAGTGAGGGGAAAATTCACTGCTCCAGGCAGAGTGTTTTCAGGCATAACAAACATGAACTTTAGCTCTACCTGTGTGCGTCACAAAACCGCCTGTCCGAATAGTGACCTGGTATCAAAAGAGTCATTAAAGGCATTCATTCTCTGCTGCCAAATACACACGAAAACATATTGATTAATAAACCGTTCACTGAATGAGCTGGCAGATAGAGTGGGCTCGTTTGCGGGTGTCACATTTGTAGCGGGAAGCTATGATCTCTGTGTGTGGTCCAGTCCGAACAAATCAGGTAACTTCATTCAGAAACAGAAAACTCTCTCAGCGAGTATTGATCCGTTGGTTTAATAAAAAAAAAATACAGCAACAAGCGAACACAAAATTTGTGCTTCTCCCCAAAAACAATGTACAATTTATGTATCTGTATGCACAAAGTATAACAAATCCAATAAATTATTTATTTAATGAAAGAAATTAACCACTGGGATATAACGGCCTTTTTTTTTTCGACGACCACCCACGTAGAGAGCGGCAGCTCGGAGAGGGAGCTGGAGCTTTGGGTGGGAGGAAGAGGAGGTGGAGGAGGAGGACGCCATTGCAACCACAGCTGGCCGTCCGAGATAAATCTGAGGAAGAACAAAACCATACCAAAGTTTCCCCACAATCACCGGCTTTGACCCATTTCTCTCCATTTCCTCCCGTCTTTCTTCGGGTTGTGAGGAAATACAAAACCAAGATGGATGTTTCGTCTTTGCGTAGAAGAATGTGGAGCCCCAGCGCCGAACAAAAGCAGGTAAAAAAAAAAAGGCCGAGTTCAGGGAGGGGGGGAATGGGGGAAAGTTAGAGCTAACTTAGCTAACTAACGGTAGCTGAATATGACCGTTACACGCCCCTGTTCTCCGTTTAATTCAATCCCTCTGTTCAGAAAAACCACTAAATGCCACAGCTTTAATCACTATTGTCACCAACAACAGAAATATGCTAACAGACGAAGCTATAAAGGCTTAACTTTCAGCAGAGTTCAATGTTTGGTGGGAGTTTAAGCTTTAGCTGAAGCTATCCCGTACGTTTAAATCTTTCTTTGTTATAACTTTATTATATGTGTTATTATCAGGCCAATGGCTCCAAAAAAACACGCTCAGGGGGTTTTATACAAAGATTTGCGAGTAGCATTAACGTTGGTTTTATCCACAAAGAAAGAACATTAATCCTCCTTCTATTTGGGGAATTTTATAATTTGATAGGTTCAGACTTTTTGTTGGAAAATTAATCAAGATTTATGTGATCATAGCTGTTTGTTGTAGGTTTCTTCTTTGAGTTATCTGTTTTATTTATTTATTTAAGGATTTTTTATTTTTAAGGAAACTGGCAGAAGGCAAAATTTTCAATAAAGTGTTTTTTTTTCAAGTCTGGAAATAGCTAATGGAAACATATTTAGATAGCTGGTTTTTATTCAGTGGAGCAGTGGGTAGTACTGCTGCCTTGCAGCAAAAGGTTTCAGGTTCGATTCCTGGCATGGAGTTTGCATGTTCTCCCTGAGCATGAGTGGGTTCTCTCCGGGTACTCCGGCTTCCTCCCACAGTCCAAAAACATGACTGTTAGGTTAATTGGCTTCTCTAAATTTTCCTTAGGTGTGCATGAGTGGTTGTTTGTCCTGTTTTTCTCTCTGTTGCCCTGCGATGGACTGCCAACCTGTCCAGGGTGTACCCCGTCCCTCGCCCTTAGACAGCTGTAGATAGGCACCAGCACCTCTCGTGACCCCACTTGGGATTAAGAGTGCCAGAAAATGGATGGATGGTTTTTATTAATTATTCCCTTGTCTAAGGAAAGCATCATCTATCTTGCTATTTATATTGATTTCATATTATTCATTCGTTTGTATTTATTTATTTATCCATGGATCAGTTCATCCATCTGTGTTACTGAAAGTCTGGCCGCTCCAATAAAACTTACTTAGAATTTTCTAAAATATGTTTAGTCGAAAGAGCTTTGTCTGCAACCATAAATAAAATAATCAAACTAATCAAAAATCTTCCGATTACTGTGGCTGCCTTCCTGTCAACATATCAGGTGATTTACCGGTGTTAAATAGGGAAGTTAGGTCCCCCCTGAAGGCGGTTACGCCTCAGAACTTCCCTTCCGGTTCTTTTCCTGCGAGCAAGTTACCTAGTATAATTATTCTTAACTCAAATTTGGTAAAAAAAACATATAAAAAGGACTATAAAAAAAGGAGTAAAAAAGTAACAGAGTTTATTAGATAGGGAAATAGCTTGCCGTCGGCACAGTGGTGGGCTCAAAACGTCAGCAAGTGTTGGCATCCGGCAAAAATGAGCCCCGAACATCTCCTGCTTCCTATACCTCATGAGTCTGTGTCGCATCAGGTGGATGCTTAGCTGTTCATGTCAGAAACAGACACGCCATCCATGCCCTGACCTTCTTGCCTCTATGCCTCAGGATTACAGATACAGTAGCTCTCCTCTATCAGTCCGGCTCCAGGATGTGTCCTTATCCTGCGTATCTTCTACAGACAAGAAGACTGTCCTCATTAGATGGCCTCTGTTCACACAATGTAATCCACCATGTGAAGGAAGGCCTTCTACTCAATCTAATCTGGCTAACAGATTAACAATACACATGATTAATAAAGAATAAAACTAACACTGGTCTGTTTCATGTTCAATATATGCATAACAGCCTTTTTTCTCCCCCCCAATCTTTCAACGCAGACTTCCACAGTAGCCTTTCCCGTCCGGTGGTCCCGTCTCTCACCATGAACTCCAGTAGGAACTGCACCTCAGCGGGGAATGGCAACGGTCTGGCAGCGCTGGAGTCGGTGTCCATAGTGACCATCACGCTCCTGGCCTGTCTGGGGAACCTGCTGATCGTGGCCACCCTCTATCGCAGGCCCTACCTTCTGACGCCCAGCAACAAGTTTGTGTTCAGCCTGACCCTGTCCAACCTGCTGCTGTCCGTGCTGGTGCTGCCGTTTGTGGCTGTGAGCTCGGCCAAAAGGGAATGGGTTTTCGGGGTGGTGTGGTGCAACTTCACTGCGCTGCTCTACCTGCTCATCAGCTCAGCCAGCATGATGACCCTCGGGGCTATCGCTATTGACAGGTCAGACCCCAATCAATGTATACTTGTATTTAAATAATATTTACATGCATCAGTTTCTAGATGAGATTAATTACGGACCAAGCTTCGATTGGTTTTATTCTTTTTATTTTGCCTATTTTTCTTACATATTTTATTACTTTGGTACATTCAGAAGCCTTACAACTGAAAAAGGTTTATTACTTATACCTTTTACATGGTTCAACATTTTCTTAACACATTTCAGTGGATTTTAATGCGATTTTATGAGGTTGTGCAGGAATGTAGCAGACAGGTCAGAGAGGATGTTGTGAAGAACTTTAGCAAAGTTTCTGTAAAACTATATTCCAAGCTTTAAGTATCTCTCAAGAGAATTGTTCTTGTTTAAAAAGTATAGAGTTAATGGGAAGATGGAAGGAGTTGAAAAAAAAAAATACAGGAATAAAAATGTGTTTTACAGGCTGCAAAGGACTTGGTACTGGTGTGCACTGGATGATCTGCCAATGGAAGGAGTATTTTTACCCTTAAAATAAGATAATTAGATAATATGCACTTGAAATTACAATGCAATTGTTATTTCTTATTTTAAATGGAATTTGCTTTGTCGAATCGACAAAGTCTGTCACTTACCTTCTCAATTCAATAAAAAATAAACTCATTTTAAGAAAAAATTACTTGCTTAGATTTAAATTTTTTGGAGTGTGGGGGATTTTCTGTAGCAGTCTGTCTTGCACCGGACAAGGAGAAGCCCCTGACTAAAGACCCACTGTTGTTGTTTTAACAGTCTGATAAAGACCAATTATTCTTTGTTAAATCAATAAAATCAAGTAAAATTAAATAGTGGGCGGATAAAAGTGGAGATCAAAAAAAGAAGAAAGATTAGAATCTTCCTGCTGCAGACGCACAGATCATTTTCCACAATCCTGCTTTATGCTGGGGCAGATCATAAATAAGATCTGAGCTCATTTTTTCGAACATTTAAAGTTTTAATGTGCAACTCTGGAAAACAGTCAACATCAATACAGATTTGTAGGTCTAAGACCATCAGGTATTAGGATAATTGATTTATACTCTTGACCTGTACTTCAGCATTTTGAACTACCTGAGATCAGTTGTGTTTTCTGCCTGCATGCTGACCTTTCAAAGCTCTGACTGGATTTTCTCAGCAGCTCAGTCCTCGGTGTTCTCATTGCTCTCCTAGTTCTCCTCAGCACCTTGGGGGATTTCTGGTTACACAGCAGTTTTTTTGTTCTCCTGCCAAGCTCCCGTCTGTCTGTTGTTTGCGGCTTTAATCAGAACGCATTACAGACCTCTTAGTGGGCTCCTGCAGCTTTCAGCTCCTGTATCGGCCTCTTCCATCTTAGCAGCCTCTTGGGTTTTTTGGCTCCTATTTGACAGATTTCTTCATCATGTTCCCATTTAATCCCAACAGGTACTACGCCGTGCTCTACCCGATGATCTACCCTATGAAGATAACAGGGAACAGGGCGGCGGTGGTCATCGTCTACGTGTGGCTACACTCCTTAGTGGGCTGTCTGCCCCCGTTGTTTGGATGGTCCTCCTTTGAGTTTGACTGTTTAAAGCGGACATGTGTTGCATCCTGGTCCAGAGACCCCAGTTACACTGCTTTCTGGGTAATCTGGTGCATCCTCCCGCCCTTCTGCATCATGTTGGCTTGCTATGGATTCATTTTCCGCGTCGCTCGCATGAAAGCCAGAAAAATCCACTGTGGGACCGTTGTCGTAGCCCAGGAGGACTCAGCTGGGGCTCAGAGAAACGGACGCAAGAACTCAAGCACTTCCACGTCTTCTAATGGGAGCAGAAGGAGCCTCGTGTACGCAGGGAGTCAGTGCAAGGCCTTTGTCACCATCCTGGTGGTGATCGGCACCTTCCTCGTGACTTGGGGACCGTACGTTGGAGTGGTGTGTACAGAGGCTCTGTGGGGGCAGGGCAGCGTCTCTCAGGGGCTGGAGACTCTGGTAGCGTGGCTCTCTTTCTGCAGCGCCGTTTGCCATCCACTTATCTACGGCCTGTGGAATAAAACTGTGAGGAAGGAGCTGCTGGGAATGTGCTTCGGCGATCGCTACTACAGAGAGTCTTTCGCCACAAGGCAGCGGACGTCCCGCCTCTTCAGCATCTCAAACAGGATCACAGGTGGGAGAACAGCAGGGGCTCTGTGTGTATGTGAACTTTGATGGCATATTTATACAAAGATATAGTTATTAGTTGGATGTTTCTAATTATTAATGCATTTCTAAACTATAGAAAAGATGGAAAAAGTAACCAGTGGAAGATTATTAATAATTATATTATTATAATTGTTCACTAACTGCAGCTGTATGACTCCCATCTGATTCCAGATGGACTGGTTACCCAAAGTACAGGAAGCTGAGTGATAAGGATACAGACAAGTTAAAATCCTCCCACAGATAAAGCATTGTTTTTGTTACAACACAAAGAATTCATATTTTTGTAAAGACATTTTTTACATAATCTTTAATTTTCTAGTTAATATGAACACATCTATCCAATAACCATTACTGAATGCTGACTTTTGTATTCCAAAATCTGCTTTTAATTTATAAAG